TAATGTGCTAATGAAGATACACACAAAAAAAAGACCAAAAAAAACCCCAAACAAACAAACAAACAACAAACCTCCCAAAAAAATCCCCACATTATCAAAAGACACTGGGACTAAAGGGAATGAAGTAAGGTTTCAGCAGTACTGTGCAACACCAAATGTCTAGTCAGGAGAAATAAGGAAAGTTGTTTTCTTAATAAGGAAGTAAAAAAATCCACAAGACCTTTATCTTGGTGTGGCACTGAAGCATAAAAGCTCCACCATTTTTGGTGCCTCCTCTCCACAAGGAGATAGATAATCTTTAGATAATCACAGGATATCCCAGCTTAAAATAATAGAAAGAGAGGTGGAAACTGTATGAGAATTAGTGCAGACAATGAGAAACTGTGCTCTTAGGCAAAATCTCCAGGGTGTGTTTGTTATTTTAGGTTCTTTTTGTACTGTGTTCCATTATTTCCAAATCTGCATTTTAACTTTCTTAGCAGCCTCTTAACATGTAAAGGGAACCTACAAGAACACTGGAGAGGGACTTTAGACAAAATCATGCAGTGATAGAACAAGTGGGAATAGCTTTAAGCTGAAAGAGGGTAAGTTTAGATTAGATATTAGGAAGAATTATTACTGTGAAAATCATAAAACACTAGCACAGGTTGCCCAGAGAAGCTGTGGATGTCCCATCCCTGCAAGTGTTCAAAGCCAGGCTGGATGGAGCTTTTAACAACCTGGTCTGGTAGAAGTTGTGCCTGCCCATGGTAGGGGGCTTGGAACGAAATGATTTTACCATCCCTTCCAGTCTAAACTATTCTATGATTATAACTTTGAATCTTGGCAAAGACAACTTGTTCCTCATTCCAGATGTGTCACATCTCAAAAGCAGAGCTCTTCAATGCTCTGCCTGTGGCCCAGTTGCACACCAGGCTGCTGGTTTCCTTTCTGCCCAGCTGCCCACATAACTGCTTAGGTTGGTTTGACAGCAAATATTCACAGGTCATGAGTTAAGCAGAAATGTCTTCTAAGGACTGTTAGTATCTGTCCAAGTTCCCTGGATGAAGGCAAGTACTAGAAAACACATGTAATCCCTAAAGATTTTGTAAAGATGGTGTAATCAGAACAGAATAAATGCTTTGTGTCAGTAAATGGAAGACATAATTTCTCTTAGAAAAACCACAATTGAATTAGCTCTGGGGATGAGAGTGGTACAGAGATGTAAACAGGTCAGACAGAGGCCTGAGTGTTTCTTTGGATGCCATCTGCTTAACAGGTGGCGTCTGCCCAGGCAAGGACTTGAATTTTTTCCTACAATCAAATTTTGCTGTTTTGGCCATAGGAGAAAAAAGAATGTTAAACACAAAGGGAATAGTCAAATGCAGTGTCCCAAGTGAGTTTGCAGAGCATATTTGTTTAGAGTGTATTTATACTAGTCCAGCAATAAAAATGCTGAATAAAAATGCTGTTTGTAAACTAAATAAAGAAAAGCACATTTGCCTGGCCAGTTGACCTGCATTACAACTTTGCAGCAAGGGTTGATCAGAAATTAAACTGGTGACAATCCAGAGAATGACAATCTCTGGCAAGCACACAAAGTCAAAAGGAATGTCTGGTGTCCAGCTGTAGCTGGGAAATCTCTCTAGTGTGTGGTGAAGTTGTGCTTCACACAGCTGTACCTTGAGACTCCCAAAAATGCCTGGGACATGAGACAATCATGCCACTGAGGCATGAAATTTAAATAGACCAAAGTGTATATTACTTCATTAATCAATATTTGATGTAGTGGAAAGTTTTGGGATAAATGGTTTCTTGGAAACTTGTTTCAGCAGCTTATCTTGCAAACATTCTACAATTTTGTTCAGGTTTTTGTTTTTTGTTTCAAGTCTTTTGCTTGTTAATGAAACAAGAAGAGGCCTCCATGGAGGCTCTTACATAACATGAAGGAGAAGAAAGAAAAAAGGAATGCATTTATGGAGTTGTGAAGGCCAGGCAGCAGAGGCAAAAAAAATTCACTTTAAGTGTGAACCAGAATGAAGAAAAACAACCCTAGAATTAGAAATAACTTTAAAGACAAAGCCAATTGCTTGGTGGATATAGTAGTAAGGAAAAGCACTGGAAACCAGTGAATTTAATGCAGGATGACTGTGTGTTAGGCAGTGGAGCCTGGAGGTTCCTGAAGGGTACCTGAGAAGTCTGACACAGGCATTGAGTCATCAATTGATCTTGCAGCAGGTAGAGCTGGAGGGGATGTTAATTGGAGTAGGTGTGGAGTCTCACAAATAAATAAATACAAATCAGCACTAGATTCCATTTATGCTCACATAACACGTCCTACAAATTCAGCAGCTCAGGAAGAGATGCACTTCAGTTTGGGTAGCTTTGCTAGGAGAGTGGGGGGGAAACAACCTTTAGGATACAGCCATCCCAACCAGTGCAAAGACAGAGCCCTCGGTGGGGGTGGGGGGAACACTCAGAGGACCTGGCTGGAAGGGTGGAGGGGTCTAGAAGACAAGGGAGAGCAATCCCAATTGGAATGCAAGACAACGCTCTCTTGCAAACATGCATAAATTAAGCAAAACTATTGTTCTGACTCCCCTCACACCTGTACCTTTTGTACTCTTGTAAAGCCAAATCTGTACATTTAAGATGGGAAAGTAAACAATGTCTTGTTTGTCCAAGAAGCGAAATGGCAGGTGGGGAATGCATTGGCAGCATTTCACAAGACAACAGGAGTATAAATTGCACACTGCAGCTCTTACTGAAGAGCAGGGGAAAGCAAGTGGAGGTCTAAATGTTAAATTCGTGGGTAATCCAGGTTCCCACTGAAACTGCAACCTGCAATAGCTGCACATCCCAGTAAACTCAGACTCAGTGGAACAACAGAGCAGGAAGGAAGTAATGGATTCAAGAGTAACACTGAATCACCTATGGAGACAGGCAGGGAGCTGCACAGGCCCCTGGAGTGAGTCAGGGGAAGGGAAAAGGAGTCTTGTTTATCTATGGATCACAGTCCTGACTGCAACCCTTTCACTGCTCCCGCTTAGAGTATGGCATTGGGAGCAAAATCAGAACATTCCACCTTTAAATTGTGGAAATCACCTTTAGATATTTAAATATACATATAGATTAGGTATAGGCTTACAGACTGTAGAGCAGAATTTACTTCTGACTTTTCCTACTGCATGAGTCTAAGGTAGATTTTCCTCCTTACCTCTACACCACTTTACATGTGTGCAGGAACCTAATCCTGCTCCTTCTGCAACTAATGCTGAGCACATGAAAACATTTACAGGTCCCAGACTGGACCCAGGAGTGTTAGGGGATGGACCGATACCCAGACTAAACACTGCCATTCTAACTGTGTGTAAGGTGGGTCCAGAGTGTCTCTCTAACACAGACAGCCTGGTCATAACCAGGGATCTGTCTTCTCTGATAGAGGTGAACTATTCCCAGTGAAGCTGTGAGCATTGTTTCCTGACTGATTTGAAGAGAGCTATACTGTTACCAAACATCATGATTTACTGTGATACCAGCAAATTAGCCTAGGTCTTTGTTTCCTTCCTTGCAGTGACTTTTGTTTTGGTTAAGCCTATAATAGTAACTTTCAATAATGCAAAACTGTGTGTACATCATTAATAAACCAGCACCTAAAACCAGAGCTAAAGTGCAGTAAGTCACACATTTGACTAAACAGAGATCCACAGGGAGCTTTAATCACTAAGAAAAATAAGCCATCCACTGAAAGGGAAGTAAACAGTTACTTCAGTACTGTGAATTGAAGTGCTACCTTCCTCTGATGCTTTGCAACCAAGTTAATGCTGAGAAATAAGGACAGTGCCTCTGATCATCACCTTTGCTTCCAATACTGTTTTTGAAGTGATTTGATATTTGCAGAGTTAGGTATCACTGCAAATTTTCTTTACCTAAAAAAAAAAAAAAGTTCCTTCCCCCATGGCCTCATTTATCAAAATCTCCTTCTGGCTGACATGGGACTTTTTTGCTGGTGCCAGGATATCTGAATAATTATGGGAGAGAGAGAAGAGCAGTGCTTTGTGGTGAAAATCCTTCTTCAATACATCCTAAATTGTCTTACTCCTGGGATGAGAGTCAAAATAGTGTCAGATATGAGGAAACATTGAAGGACTTAGTATATCAGATGAGCAAGGATTTGGGGGAAAAAGGTGATTTTTCTCAGTAGTGCAGAAGATTCTTTGGATTTGTTACCTCTAGAAAAAACTTTGCAAAGTCTTCGGGCATCTACGAGTTGACTTTGCAGTGTGTCACATACTAGCTTAATGAACAAAAATAACTATGCTAAGAAAAGACTGTCCAGGAGAAACCTAACTCTGTGATTTCTATATAAGGATCTTAAGCAAGTAGTGCAAATGCTTCATCCTAGTCTCATACCCTCCAGTTTTAAAGGCAGTGACACTGTTTATCACTTAGCACACACAGGCCAGAAAACAAATTCACAATTGGCCCATCTACTAGTTTGAGAGAGAGAACATCCCCTCCAGAGACAGTCAGTTCCAATGCAAACCACTTCATGATGGAGGCATGTGTTTCATGTCTTTATTGTTAAATTAAAATGCAATTGCCAATAATGATGATAGGGACAACTCAGAGCACCTTTCACAGAGAAGGTGAAGCCCAGCTCTCCCTTCAGAAATTTATGAAGAGAGAGCAATGGGGCCTGGATCCAAAGCCAATAAATGAACGTGTGGTTTCCTACTGACTTTGGAGAGCTTTACCGAATCCACACTTCAGTGGTCCCAGCTTGCTCTAGCTTTGAGTATTGCTGACACACTGGGCCTAGCACTACAAACAGAAAACTTCGACACCAGACTCATTATTGAGAGGCAACATTCACAGATGGAGTAATAAACCAGTATGCCGAAGAAAAATAATAGAAAAAAAGCCCACAAAACAAAAACCCAAACAAACGCTGCAGTCTGGGCTTCTGTGCAAATTTTTACACTTTTCTCTTAGGACAAGAAATAAAGAATTTGTCCTACCTGGCTGTTCTGTGTCTTGTGTTCAACCTGGAGCTGTTTGTCACAACGAACAGGAAGGATTATTTCAGCACCATGCAAAGAGCCACAGTTTGTTTTAAGCTCCCTGGACACAGGCTTCTCCCCAGCTGGGAGGAGAGGCTGGCGAGGGAACACCACGCTTCCTGGGATGCAAACCCGTGCAGGGGCACGCTGAGCGTGATCCAGGAGTTACAGGATGTCTCAGTGCGTTCCGTGTCCTCGATAAGGACTGCGAGCGGAAAGGCAAAGTTCCCGGGGCTGTGGGTGGAACGTGGCACCGTGTAGCACTGAGTAAATAAAAACCAAGTGATCATTGGACTCGGGTGTGACACCAGGTATTACGAAGGTTTATATACCATAGGCAGGACTCTGGATTTCATCTGAGAGAAATGCAGCCTGCAAACCCGGTGGTGCACCCTGCTTGCAGCTAAGGCAACAGCGAGACCTTGAGCTCAAGTTTTGGCAGATTTGCCTTCTTAGACAGCACTCGGAGAATTTCAGTCACAAAATATGTTCTTTCTTACAGGTCAGACATTTCACTGCCTCCCATAAGGACCTATAAAATGCATGCAACTTCTGTGGGATAGTTGCTTGTTTGAGGAGTGTATGGTGCCAAGTACTACAGGATCCTGATTTGTGTTTCTGGATTCCATGGTTATGAGAACAAAACACGTAGGTTCAGCTTTTGACATAGTTTTTTCTTTCAAAGCCCTCTTCAGACTAAATAAAACATTTACAAAGATAAATCTGAGATAGAGACAGAACTAATCTAAAAAAGCCACCTAAGTACAATGGTGATAGGGTGCAATATGAAAACTTGCAATAAGATTAAATTGTCTAAGTAATGACATTTATCTGCAACATCAGTATTGTGTGCTTTCCTTCATTTTGATAATGCAGACTTCCAGTGCTAATTTTACAAGATTTGATTTGCTCCTTCAAGGTCTTTTTGCCACCTACTTTTAGGTTTAATGACACCTTCTGCCTGACAAAGTCCAAATTATTGTCAAGTTTAAATAGATAAAGATTTTTTCAAAGAAACTTTTTTTTCTTTTTAAAACATTCTTTGCAATATGCTAAATCATTGAATCAGAAGCCTTCCTAAAAGGTAATTCACACCTCTTTAACCACCTTATCTGTTTGGGGCGTTCTTGTCCTGTCTGTTCTTGGTTAATAAGAAGAGATTCATCAGTACCACTGTTTCCTGAAGTCTTTTTTCAAACTGAATCTATTTTTCAGCTTTCAGAGCAGCAGACAGGATTGCAAACAAAGCAGTGAAAGTTTATAATTCTATTTAAAGATCTCCCAGTAGATAATGGGCCATGATTATGACTAACAGTGTCATGTGGATGACCTAAAGAAGGAAGGATAACAGCCCAAGAAACCCTGAAATGAGACTCAAATCCCCTCTCACATCTATGAGAGATCCTGGATGAGTCAATAAATGCTGCTGTGCTTCTCTTTCCTTATTCATAAAAGGGAATAATTCTTCACTTCATCAAGAGACCAAATAGGAGACCTTGCCAACTACAAGATATTTAGAGACACATAAGTGATGTCTCAGAACATGAGAATTTCTAAGTCTCTTTCATGTAACAAAGGCAGAGGCTATCCCAAAGTCCTGTTAATCACACTTTTTTTTTCTCCCCCAAAATGGCAATAATGACATTTCTTTTAGGAACAAATGAATAAGCTCTTTTTCTGTGGAGTTTCCAGTTATTGTATTGGATCATGATACTGTTATTGAAACAGAAGGTCTTCTTAAGGGAAAAAGGTGCCACAAACTGAACTGGAAATATGACAGCCTCTCCTGTTAGCATTTTGCCTCCAAGCACTTCAGCTGTGAGTCAGTGAGCTGATAGGAAGACTTTTATGTAGCATTCAGAATTAGTTTTGGAGGATACAAGAAACTGCATTTCTTTCCTGTCTGTGCTGTGTTGGTCACTAAAGTAAAAATAACTTCAAATTAACAATGGTTAACAATTGGAGCTGAGAGTACAGCTTTAGATTAATGTTTTTGTAGCATGAGAACTCCCTTCATTTGGAGTTTAAAAGCTACTGTTTAAGAATGATGCAATTTTTAAGGCAAAAAAGAAAGACATGCTGCTGCTTGATAGAAAGCCATGTTGCAAGAGCTGGTTATATGATCTACTCTTCTCTTAATAACCCTCAGCACGCTTCCAGAAGATTTCTTCCAGAGCAGTTCTTTCAAAAGTTGTTGTCCCCTTTGCAAAATACAACGTTTTTTGGGAGCATTTCTGCTTTCTCTCATCTTGTGGTCTGTGGGTCGCACCAATAACCTCTTTTACTCATGCTCTGTGAATTTCTGTTTTTTCAGAGCTACTGAGGGACTTTCTTCACCCTCAGTTTCTACCTTAGAAATATCCTGCTGTGCTGTGGCTGCCTGCTGCAGCTGTCATGTGCTGGGGAAGAGGCATGGCAATGGACAGATCTTTATGTGCATTTCTTATGGTTGCTTGTCCTGCCAGCAATAAGCACACCAGACATCATGGGATAATAAATTTTAGAATGACACTGTGACAGGGAGTTGTATCTTAGTTAGCCAGGAGTTCTGTGACTCTTTAAAAATTTTGTAATGCACTATGTTTAATTAGTTAAGGAAAGTTTGATCATTATTTTAGCTGGTTTTGATTTAAATCTGTGTTGGCTGAGTGTTGGTAAAAAACCCTGAGAAATTACCTCATTGCACCTGCAGAAAGGAACTCCATGGATCCATACCCCACAGAGAACTTAAGAGCTGAAGAACAAAATTCAAGAAATAATTGTTTAATGGTTATCATATAACCATTAGATGAATTAGATGTCATAGAACAAGAAAGATATCTTGAGAAAGTTAAGGAGTCAAGGGTCTATACACCCTAGAAAACTTGATTAATACATTGCAGGTGCAGTAAGGGACCTACTTCATAGGTTTATACACCTCAGAAACCTAATCAATGGTAATGGTCTAACCAGGACAGAGACTTTAATAAAGCACTGTTTAGCTGGATAAAACTAGGGTTATTCATTAAACAAAGATAGATGAGATATTTTGGTAGTTAAAAGAAACTAAACACCTATATCTTGATGCAATAAATTGGGCAGACTTTTTGGAGTGTTTATAAAAAAAATCTTGGGTTTTATAGTGTATGTAAAAGTTGTGAAAATTGTTGTTTCTTTAAACATGTCTATGGTGAATAAATTCCCAATATGTTCCAAATTTTGGCTCAAAATTGTTATTAGGAATGTTTGTCTAATAGCTTTTTGCTGTTAGATTATAACATTTTGTTTCAACTGACAGATGAAGCAGCAGGTATTTGTGTTTGGCCCTTCTGCATATCCCAAATGAAGGATAAATCTAATGAAAGAACAGGTCCTGAAACACAGATGCATTCATCAACCACACAATTTCATTCAACATTTTGGGCAAGGACTATCCCTATTTCCTTCACTAGATCTTGCCATGCAGGCCACAAAGACCATACAGGTCATCAGATATACATAACTGAGTCTCAAGAACGCATATTTGTTGGGTGTGAGGAGAAATGGACACTTTGATTTAGGGACACCAAACGTCAGATTGGTTTGGCACAGAACTTCCTGCAAACAGAGAGAGCTTCCTACAAACCATCAGGGCAGTTTCATGGACATCCACTTTAACACAAAACCCATCACCAGAAGCTCCTCTTTGCCCCCATCTACAGACTGGAAGCTAATTTGGAAAAAGAGAAAATAATTGCATTTTTATTGGATCATTTCCCTTACCATATTCCACTTAAACACCAGGAAATTATCTCATAGGAATTGAAGGGTGTTGCCCTGGGAAGGTGACACAGCTGACAGCTCAGCTGAGGTGCCTTTACACCAGTACATACAGCCTGGGCAACCAAGAGGAGGAGGTGGAAGCCAGTGTGGTGTTAGAAAACTATGAGCTTGTTGCCATTATTGAAACTTGGTGGGACAAATCCCATGTGCAACTATGGATGGCTACGAGCTGTTCAGAAGGATGGGGCAGGAAAGACAGGCAGGTGGGTTGCCCTCTTCATCCAGAGGTGGATTGAGCATGAAGAGCTGTCTTTCAAAAACAGTCATGAGCAAGTTCTTACCTGTGGGTAAGAATCAGGGACTGAGGAAACAAAGGGAACCTTGTGGCTGGTGTTTACTACAGACCCTGATCAAGGGGAGCCTGTTGCCGAAGCCTTGTTGCTCCAGCTACAGGAGGCATCACTTGTAGGCTTTAGTGATGTTGGGGGTCTTCAACCTCCCCAACATTTGCTGGGAAAGGAGCGCAGGGAGCTGTAGGCAATCCAGGAAACTCCTGGAATGAAGGATAACTTCTTGACCAGGTAATAGCCTTACCAGAGGGGATGTGATACTGGGTATGTTGGTTTCCAACACAAAAAAGATTACTGGGGACATGAAGACTGGAGGCAACCTGGGCCACAGTGACCATGTACTGATGGAGTTTTAGAACTGGGGAATGTGCTCAGGTAAGGAGTAAAGGTCAGGTAAAGTTAGGCTCCTGAACGTTAGGAAAGCAGAGTTCCAGCTTTTCGTGGAGATTCCCTGGGACACTGTCCACAGGGACAAGATATTGGAACAGACCTGTCAGAGGTTTAAGAACATCTGCCATAAAGTACAAGAACTAGCAATCGCCAGGAGCATGAAGTCAGGCAAGGAAGGCAAGAGACCAGCATGGCTGAGTAGAGAATTGCTGGTCAAACTAGAGGGAAAGAAAATTTACAGGCAGTAGAAGCAAGGGCAGTGAGCTGGGAAGACTATGGAGATAAAGTATGGTTTTGCAGTGATGGGGTAAGGAATGTCAAGGCAAAGCTGGAACTGAGCATGGCAAGGCACACAGAGAAAAGCAGGAAGAGCTTCTATGGATATGTTAACCAGAAAAGGAAAGTCAAAGAAGGTGCAACCCCTCTGATGTCCCTTGTCCCCCTTTGACCTAGACAAGGTTGAGGTTAGGTCCATAGGAACATCATAAGGTTTAATAAAACCAAGTTCAAGGTCCTTCACCAGGGTCAGGGCAGCCCCCAGTACCAGCCCAGGCTGGGCATGAGCAGACCCAGAGCAGCCCTGCCCAGAAGGGCTTGGGGGTGCTGTGGGTGAGAGGCTGCACATGGCCCGGCCATGGCACTCACAGCCCAGAGAGCCAAACGTGTCCTGGGCTGCATCCAGAGCCCCGTGGGCAGCAGGGGAGGGAGGGGATTCTGCCCCTCTGCTCTGCTCTGCTGAGACCCACCTGGA